ACTTCCCATCACTTGCTCCCCCGCCGGGGCCCAGCTGAGCAGCGCAGCACTTAGCCGGGCCGCCACGGAGGGAGAGGAAGGGGGGGCGGGGCACTGATGTAGACGGACAGTGGACGTGTACGTCAGCGTTACAGACACTGGGCTACTATATAGATATAGATATAGATATAGATATAGATATAGATATAGATATAGATATAGATATAGATATAGAGAAGGATGATGATGATGATGATGATGATGATGAAGTAAAATTAATGGCATGCTGGATATAGAAAGGGTTTTGGGAAAAATGCTACAGATATAGTTTTGATTTCTAAAATATGAATCCTAGACTCTGGAATTTCCTGCCACTATAGATAATACAATCTGTACCAAAACAAGTTAAACTTAATTATTTTACTGTACAAATAAAACATCAATCTTCAAATCCAGATCATATATACCGTATATTCCGGCGGGCCCCCCCCGAAAGGGGCGGGGGGGGGCCCGGCCGCCGGCTTCCCCCGAGGCTTTGCAAAGCCGCGGAGGGGCTCCGGCGGCGGGGCAGCCCAGGCACGCCGGGGCTGTCCTGCTGCCGGGGCGTCCTCAGAGGCTTTGCTCCTGGTGTCCCTGGTCTGCTGGGGACTGTCTCCAGCAGACCAGAGACACCGGGAGCAAAGCCGGGGAGGCGGAGGGGCGCTGGGGTATAAGACGAAACCCTATCTTTTAACTAAAAAATTAGGGGGTCGTCTTATACGCCCAGTAGCCTTATACACCGGAAAATACGGTAGCAGACTGGAAACAGAATAAATTGTAATATCACGGATAAATTTAAAGAAACCCCCATTTTTCCAAAGAACATAAGACCCATATATAGCACTAACCTTAACAATTTCCAGACAGCAATGGTAAGCTTCATTTTTTATGATCAGCAGAGGATGGGACAACAGACGGAGAAGCACCTTCTGACTCTCCTCCTGCAGCAATGAACTAGCCTGGGCAGACTTCCAGCTGCAAGTAAAAACAGTTAAATATACAAAATAAATTAGCTTCTATATGGTTTATCGTAGCATATTGATAAATAAGCTTCTTTTACAGAGTAAGACATGAAGAACTTCTGTAAAAATTATCATAACATCCAGTGTATTGCAGGGCACACACAGGCAACATTCCTTCTAAAGTACAAATGGTCATCATGTTCAAGGGAGGCTAGCGTGGCTTTTTCCAAACCCTGGAGTCTCAGGGAGACAACCAGCCCCAGTGCCAGATTTATGGTAAATAAATTCCCTCTGGAATTTACAACAGATGCAGACGGTATTTCCTGTAGAAAGTGTTGCTACCAGAACCACTGAAGAAAAAAGATGGGCCTCAGAGCAGAAGTCAGTCAAAAGGGGAAGGAGAGACAACCCAGTAAAGAGAAAAGTTTCTAAAAAGGTTTTAAGGGCTACTCCTCATTTCCACATTTAAGCTTCAAAGGCAAAAGTGTCCTTAATTAATCTCCTTAATGTTACTTTCTAATTGCATTTTCGAGTGATGTATCATAATTAAAACAGTGGCCTTGACATTCAAATATATTTAAGATGCTTTTAGAAAAATCCTAATATTCTACCCATTTTTGTAACTAGTCTAGTAACAAACTTTGCACTGCTGTTTTCTTTTAAGATATGGTTGGATAAATTAATGGTGGTAACAAGACCATAATTTAGAACAAGTAAAAAACCCACACTTCACCTGTAACATATGCAACACCCTTCTTTTACACAAAGAAAACAATGTACTTTCTCAAATAGTATTAATTTAAAATAATAATTTATTTACATATTCAAGCAAATGTGGATGATCTCCTGAAGCAAGGGAAAGTGTTGATGATAAGGAAGACTCTTTAGTGCTTTATCTGCCAATTCCACTAATTCAAATATTTTTTTTTCTCCCTTAAAAAAAAAAAAGGCAAATTTAATATAAAAATAAAATACATTTATACATTCTGAGGACTAAACATTTAGTGATATCTGCCAATTTACATCTTGCCAGTATCTCTCTAATGAAAATAACACCATTCCACATGGTTAATCAGGGTTACAAGTTACAATTACTACAGGCAGTCCCCGGGTTACGTACAAGATAGGGACTGTAGGTTTGTTCTTAAGTTGAATTTGTATGTAAGTCAGAACTGGTACATATTGTAGGGGAAACTCTAGCCAATCATTTCTCCAGAGCTCAGTTTTATTCTCCCACACCTCACTTCCCTCAGTCCTTTATTCTCAAGCTGAGGTGTCTGCTGAGAAAAGCCGCTCCGCGTCTCCCTGGTCTGCTGTGGGGGAGCGCTAGCTTCGCGTCTCCCTGGTCTGCTGGGGGGGGCGCAGCTAGTGCGGGGTTGCCTCACCCTGTTTGTAAGTAGGGATCCGATGCAAGTCGGATCCGTGTAACCCGGGGACTGCCTGTATTAAATACTTTAAACATAAATTACAATTGTCCATGTTTGCTACCACAAAATGCTCACATTTAGACATTTTGTGAGCTTTTCAATTCCCCCGACATGTGCAACTTCCTCTATTCCTTTTGACTCTAATACAAACAGAGGGTGCCCAGCAATTTGCAACATTAGAACTAGAATACAACAGAGCAGGGATGTCAAAAGTAGGTTAAATAGGTAACCGTGTAACTGATCTCAGCGGTTACATGCTGCAAGTTCTGCAATATAAAGCTTAAGTAAGCCTACCCTGCTTACCACCTAAAATGACTTCTGGAAACATGTAAGACTGAACAGAGAGAAGGATCAGGTCCACATTGGGAGGCTTCTCAGCTTGTGAGAAAACATTAGATTATTAGAACTACTGTTAGGGTAAGAAATTAGTTGAACCTCTATAAAACAGAACTCTCTGGTCTGGCAACATCCGTGGTCCATTTCCCTGCGCTCTGTAGGAGTGGAGCCAGGAGCACAGTGCAATGCATGGAGGTTGGGGGGGAGCCCAGCATGCATCCGCCGGCTGGGTTAGCTAATCTCAGTGTCTGTATTGCTCTGTGACCCCAATTCTGCAGGAGACTGGAGGGAATGGCTCAGCAGGACAGAGTGGTGGGACACTCAAAGTGCAGATAGGCGAGCACAGCTCAGGTATTTTAGCTCATCAAGTGACAGTCTCAAGGGGATCTCTGTGACTATACCCAGAATACATACCTTTTTAATTATAAATTCACACAGCAATGTCTCCTTAGTTATTCATCCTGCATTTGACACATTTTCTGAACTCTGTGATTGATATTAAACTGTCTGTTAACCTCATGTCTCAGACTAGTACACATATCAACAGAGAATAATGAATAGTCTCATACCAATTTTGATCACTAGTTTTTGTTAGTTTGTTCTTATTTTGAAAAGGTTTCTCAATATAATTTATATACTAGAATTCCATACCTCCTTATGGACATCCATCATAAAGTTACAGGTGCAGTCAATTGAATAAACAGCTTCGGAAGCTTGTTTATAAATACTGTAGCTCTCAGAATTCATCTGCTCCAAATAGGCTGCGACAGACTCATGAATGCTGGGATATTCCAAGGAAAAAGGCATGTCCAAGGATAGAAGAAATAAAGCAGTCACCAAGCTCTCTGGTAACACTTTGCTAGCCTTGAGAAAAGATGATGGGAGAGAAAGAGGAAAAAATAGTTAAATTACAGTGTAAACATTAGCTAAATAATTCTAAAGTTGAATTTAATAATAAAGACAATTCTCAATGCTGCTATTTAGTGCTTTGCAAAAAACGGAAGATCTGAAAAGCAACTTCCAGATTATATAAGCATGCCTCCATCCGCTCAAGCTTTAGGTAAACAGAAGGGAACCAGTAAGTTTTTGGTGTCAATCTGTGCTTAAGTTATATATATATTTATAGTCCAGCTGCAGGATAGGAGTCTCCACTAATTTATTAAATTGTCTCTAATGATTAACCACCAGAAGGTAACACAGAGATTCAACTATTTCTATAGTCTTGGGCCTTTTTGAATGTTCTCATTACAGTTACCTTCATAATCCGTAAAATACTTGCAACTTTACAACTGCACGACATTGCAACATATTACCAGATGAGAACTTGCTCTGATTGCAGTAAGTGATCACTCAGGTCAAATTGGTAAATCAGACCTACATTACTCAACTCTGGTCCACACACAAGATAAAAAAAAATATTTAAAAAAAAATCCCATTTACTGAACTTAAAATGATAGCAATACAATTAGTGTTTATAAATAAACTGATATATCTATAACGTTTAGGGGCTAGAGAGAAAGCATATACTTTAAACGGTACAATATAATTCATGGTACATCAGAGTTGTATCAGTTAAAATGATCCTCCTCGACAATGAGTGTTAAGTTCCAAAACTTCTAAAAAAACAGTTACACTGAAGAGCAAAGCAGTAAAAAAAAATGTTTAAAAATACAAACAAGGTCATTAAATATAATAAAAAAAAAAAAAAACTTACCGGGGTTTCTAAAGACTCCATCTCTAAAGAGAGCTCTAATTTTTGACTGGCTACAATTTAGATAATTGCAGGGTGTTTACTGTTTGCAAAAAAATTACATCATGATAACCTAAAAGTTTAAGATTCCTACAAAATATAAGATATTATCATGGTACATAATGATCCAACCATCAGACAAAAGTTCAAATATCTTAATACGTACAGAAAGTGGAACAAAAATAATTCTTTCTGAACAGTGTTAAATTTTCTATTAACAAGAAGAGGGCAGCATAGTCTTGCAAACTTCAAAACACGTGGAATAGCATGAAAAACATAGCAGTGATAAAATGATGCTTTTATGCTATTAAAATGCTTACCCAGTTAATCAATATAAGCAAATGAACTTTCTATAAGTCAGTCACATAATTAGGTCAATTCAAATATTTACTGTATTACATAAGCAAAGGTTACTTACCTTGTAACTGTAGTTCTTTGAGAGGTGTTGCTCATGTCCACTCCAATCAGGTGTACGTGCGCAGCATGCACGGATCCTGGAGCTTTTTTCCCTCAGCAGTATCCTTAGGGCCAGGCAGGGAGTCCCCTGGAGTGGCGCCGGCATATCGGCGCATATATGTCCCTGCTGGCCTTTCCACCACCTCAGTTCCTTCTTGCCAAAGTCCTCTGACAAAGGGGAGGTGGGTGGGATTTGGAATGGACATGAGCAATACATCTCGAAGAACTACAGTTACGAGGTAAGAAACCTCTTCTTCTTCGAGTGCTTGCTCATGTCTATTCCAATCAGGTGATTCCCAAGCTGTGTCCCAGGAGGTGGAGTCGGAGAGTAATGATATCTATCTACAGACTGCAGAACTGCCTTTCCAACAGATGTATCTGCTTTGGCCTGCTACGTAATGTCATAGTGTTCTGAGAAGGTATGTACGGCGGACCATGTGGCCACCCTACAGATGTCCAGGATAGGCACTTGTGCCAGAAATGCCACGGATGTTGCCTGCGTTCGTGTGGAATGTGCTCTCAGAGGGGAGGTGTCTTACCCACTCCATGGTAACATTCATTAATACATGAGGTGATCCAGGAGGATAAGGACTGAGCAGAAACTGGAACTCCCCTCATTGTTTCCGCGATGGAAATAAAGAGTTGTGCTGACTTACGGAACTCCTTCGTCCTGTCTATATAGAATGCAATGGCTCTCCTCGCATCCAGGTAATGTAAAGCCTGCTCTCTGGTTGACTTGGGTGGCTTAGGGAAGAACACAGGTAAGTAAATGTCCTGGGACATATGGAAATGAGATACCACTTTAAGGAGAAAGGCCAGGTGAGGTTGTAGTCTGACCTATTCCTTAAGGGGGGTCTGTAAAGGGGGGGTCTGTAAAGAGCCCGTAGCTCTAATACCCTCCTGACCAAGGTAATCGCTACCAAGAATGCCACCTTCCATGATAGATGTTTTAAAGAACAGGTGGCTAATGGTTCAAATTGTGGCCACAAGTCCCTTAAGGACTACGTTAAGGTTCAAGGAGGAATAGGGGGACGTATGTATGGTAATAGTCTATTGATTCCTTTCATGAATCTCTTCACCATGCTGTTAGCGAACACTGACCTTCCAGCCTTCCCTGGGTGGAAGGCTGTGATCGCTGCAAGGTGGACTCTAAGTGGACTCCCCACCCGACATCTGATGCATCCATCACTAACTGCACAGATGGGGCTTGCTTGTTGAAAGGGACTCCTGCACATACTACTTTTTCCTGCATTCACCAGTCTAGCGAGCGTAGTACTGATTTCGGGAGAGTAACCACCATCTCCAGGGGCTGTCACACTGGGTTGTGGATGGTTCTTAGCCACTTCTGCAGTGGACGCAGTCTGAGTCTGGCATGCATCACGACGTACATACAGGCTGCCACGTGACCCAGCAGTCGCATACAATTGCAGGCCGTGGATACAAGGGACCTCTGAAGGTCCACGATCACTGTGTGCATAGTCTGAAATCTGTGTCTGGGCAGAATGCTGTCTCTGTTGTGGAGTCCAGACAGGCTCCTACAAATTCTATTATCTGTGAGGGAATTACGGTAGACTTTTCCTCGTTTATTATGAGGCCGAGTTGGAGAAACACTTGTCTGGTGTTTGAGATGTGCCTCATCACTTGTTCTCAAGACGACACCCGTAATAGCCATCGTCCAAGGTAAGGAAAAACATGTATGCCTTGGTGCCTTATAAAGGCCGCCCACTGGTGCCATACATTTGGTGAATACCTTCGGCGCTGTGGTGAGGCCGAATGGTAGGACTGAACTGGAAGTGTTCGTTGCCCACTACAAATCTGAGGAATCTCCTGTGGGCAAGGATCACTGTAATATAGAAGTAAGCATCTTTTAAATCGAGGGCAGCGTACCAATCTCCTTTCTGGAGGTAGGGGATGATGGAGGCTAGGGTGACCATTCTGAACTTCATTTTCCATATGAACAAGTTTAGGTCCCTGAGGTCTAGAATGGGACAAAGACCCACTTTTACTTTGGGAATGAGGAAGTATCTGGAATAGAAACCCCTTCCTCTGAATTCTTTTGGAACAGGTTCCACTGCTCCGAGGTGCAGACAGTTCACTACCTCTTGCTTTAGCAGGGTTTTGTGAGAGGGATCCCTGAAGAGGGATGGGGAGGAGTGAGGAAGTGGAGGGGGAGGAAAAGGGAATCGAATAACCCTTTTCTATCAGGTCTAGAACCCACTGCTCTGAAGTTATGCTGGACCAGGCCTGGGAGAAATGGGATAAACGGAAACCAAAAGGGGGTAACTGAAGTTTGAGTGCTACGGTGTCCTTGACCGTGCCCTCAAAATGAGGGCTTGGGGTGCAGTCTCTGAGATGTGGTTGGTCCTTTATCCTGGTCTGATCTCGAACCCCTGCCTCTATTTCGAGATGGATCATTTCGGATGTTGTTACAGCCTCTCCTTCTACCCCATTCATAGCTGAACCCCCATTGGAATGGCCTTCCCCCTGGTCTGGGGTTCAGGGATCTCCTCAGGGGGCCAGATGTGTGTATCCCCAGGGACTTTAAAGTTGCCCTAGAGTCCTTTAAATTATGCAATTTTGAATCAGTCTGGTCCGAGAATAACCCTCCTCCTTCAAATGGGAGGTCATGCAGGGAGTTCTGAACCTCGGCAGGGATGCCTAACACCTGGAGCCATGCACTCCTTCTTATTACCATGGCAGCAGCCATTGTTCTGGCCACCGAGTCGGCTGCGTCAAGGGCTGCTTATAAGGCTGTGCGTGCTACCATTCTGCCCTCGTCAGTTACAGCCACAAACTCGTAGGTCCTCCTGCGGTTGGCAATCCTTCAACTTTTCTATAACTGACCATGTATTAAAAGCATTCCTTCCTAACATAGCTTGCTGGTTGGCTATACATAATTGTAGGCCCCCGATGGTATATGTTTTCCTCACCAAGAGGTCCAGCTTTTTGGGTTCTTTTGACTTGGGGGTAGGACTCGGAGGTCCCTGTCATTCACTTTGCCTTGCTGCTTGGACCACAGTGGAACTCGGGGGGGGGGGGAAGGGGGGGAACAAATACTCATGGCCCACCTGGGGGATGAAATATCTTCTCTCCACCCCCTTCTGGGTGGGAGGGATAGAGGCTGGTGTTAGCCAAAGAGTTTTCAATAACTTATCCACAGTTTTGATCAGTGGCAATGCCACCCTCCTAGGGGTGTTTGCTGACAGTATGTCCACCACTGGGTCAGCCTCCTCTTGTACTACTTCTATTTTCACTGATAAGTTCACAGCAATCCTTCTTAGCAAGTCTTGGTGCGCTCTTGCATCCATTTATGGTAACGATGGGGCTGGATCACCTAGGGCCTCATCAGGAGAGGACGATGAGGAGTCTCTCAGGATAGGCTATTCATCCATTGGCTCGCTGGTGGGGCCGCTTGTATGGTCTCGGGTTGAGGGTGTCTGGGTGCCTCATTGCCCTGAGTGTCTTGGGGTCTGGAAGCAGTCATAGTAGTCGACTTATCCGTTTCAGATGTGGGGCTCTACGGGGGGGGGCACCAAGGGGGAGGCTCCCTCGTCCTGAGGACCCCGAAACAGATGCCCTACGGGGTGGTCCTTGGGCCAGGTGGTAGGCCCACAGAGTCCAAAAGGGCCATTGTTGTGGAGGCCAAGTGTACCGTTGGGCAGGATTGCCATAAGATGTTCTGTGATGGGAACGGGATTGGTGCCTAGACCTTGACCTATAAGACGACCTTCCCAACCTCAGCGACTCCACGTCCGAGCCTGAGCACTATTCCGAGGCTAACTATGGCGGAGGCACTTGACTCTTGCTCCCTCCGATGTTGAACCACAGCCAACGGTTTTCCTCTAAGCGTTGTAACCGGTGTGAGGGGTAAAAAGGTGCTGCACCAGTGCTGCATATACTTGGGTTGTAGTCTGTATGCCCAGTCCCTGTGGTACCGACAGGGGTAGAATATTAGGTGCTCCTAATGTTGTCCACATTGCAGGCAACGGTGTCAAAGATGAGAGTCAGTGCTGCCATGTTTGGTATCGGTGCCGCAACAGTTGGTGCTGGGATTGGTGCCAGCACGGGTGTCAGTGTTGGGGTCGGGGTCGGAGTCGGTGCCAGCACGGACATGACTGTTGATGCTAAGGTCGGTGCCATTGCCTGTATTGGGTCCGGCACCGGTAGAGGTAATGCTGGCAGTGTTCCTGGTGCTGTAGCAATGGTCCATGGGTGTCCATGGACCCTGGTAGCTGGCGATGCAGAGGCTGTCTCCGGCATCCGTACCAGTAACGGTGGCAGGGATGCCATTGGCGCCATTAACAGTTCTGACTAGTGTGCTGTCGATCTGCCCGGCACCAGGATGGGGAAAGATGATGGGTTCTGTTATAGACGATGACGACGGCTCCAGGGCAGTCAGCACTATCAGATTGCAAGCCACATCAAAAGTCTCCGAAGTCGATGGCCTAAGTTCCTGAAGGGCTCTTTCGGCTCCTCCCCTGATGGGAATATGCCGATGTCCAGACTCCGTGCGTGGCTGTCCCGGAGCCTTTGTGGCCAAGTGCCCTTCCTTCGGGAGCACTTTTTGGCCTGTCCTGTACAGGGACCATCCCCTAACCTCCTTAGATCTTCTCTGGGCTGGAGAAAGAGACCAGTGACAGAAAGTCTTAGTCTTTTGCTTAAGCGGCGCTGTAGTAACCTCCCGCACCGAGGAAGGGGCACTGTGCACCTACTGGGCTTCTTCGGCACCGGAGGTTGGAGAGTAGACTCCATAAGTAGCCGCTTAAGCCTGGAGTCTCTCCCTTCTTGTCCGTGGCTTAAAACTTCTACAAATCCTACAGATGTGTGTGAATGTTTCTCACCCAAACATTTTAGGCAGGAATCGTGAGGATCCCCGCAGGGCATAGGTTTCGAACAGGACACACAAGGCTTGAAGCCGTGTGGCCCTGGAATTCCCTCCCCAGCCAGTGAGAGGCATAGAAGAGGAACAATGTCCTCCTATCCTTCCTATTTACATACTAATTACTATACTTAAGAACTATTTACAAACTTACTAGCTACTAACTACTCTACTTTAGCACTAATTACAAGCTAAGGGAAGACCAGAAGTCTGACATGCTTCAGCTGCTGTCATGGGCGGTAAGAAGGAACTGAGGGGATGGAGGGGCCAGCAGGGGCATATATGCGCTGATATGCCGGCGCCACTCCAGAGGGCTCCCTGGCTGTCCCTATGGATACTGCTGAGGGAAAAAAGCTCCAGAATCCATGCACACAGCACATGTACACCTGATTGGAATGGACATGAGCAAGCACTCAAAGAAGAACCTACTGATCTAATATGATTCCAGATATGGTATTTGGAAATGATGAACCCATAATCAACGTGCAGCACTAGCAGCAGTCTTGGTGAGTGAAAGAATCTTCAAGAGTAAGTACTACTTAGGAGATAGTGCTGCTCCTTACCACATTCCAATGATTGAATCTTCTTGCCCCAACCCACTTGTTCTTCATGGTGATACAGAGTAGGACCTCTGTATCATAAATGAACATACATCTCATGAAAGTGCATCATGACTCAAGACTGAACGTAGTACTTCATGACTCTTCTTAACTCTCCCAAAATACCTATCCACACTTGTGTTCTCATTCCAGGAGCTAAGAGGAAGCAAGAATGTTGCTTTCTAACAAAAAACCTAAGAAAAGTCAATGAAAAAAATCTTTAGCAGAAATTGAAAGCTGCAACAGATCTTTGCCAAAAGCTCCTGCAAGCTTAAAAACTGAGAAGGTGGAGGTAGCTATTCTACTCTATGAGCCTACCACCTCATCAATTCACCAGGTCCCCTCTTTCTTGCCAACAAACCCTGCTATCAGAACCAACCACCAGACTCACCTTAGAAAAGTACCTCTTTGTACTCTCCTAGTATACAAAGACAAAACGGGATTACTTTCTAAACACAGTAAAAACACTAACAGTATTCATAGGATTACTAACTTTGTTTTCCTCTCCTCACCTTTTCTACAGGTAGAAGTGTTTGCAACAGTCGGACGGTGAAAAGTGAAATGCTAACAAATGCCATTCTGTGGTACACTAATATCAGCTCAGACTGCTCTGAGCTGACATTACTTTTGTGGTAGGATATGGTTTCTCCAAGTGAATCCAGGATGATCAGCAGCTTATCTTTCTGCAAAGTGAAAACAAAAGATACAATTTAAATTATTATCAATAGAAAGCATCACCAATCATTTTTTTAGTACTACAGTACCATTGCAAGAACGAAAATGAAATATTTATGTAAGTGTTACAACTAAGCAGTCTCAACATTTTATTCTTCTTTTTTTCCAGAAATGTTCTTTTCCAGAAATGTAACACAAGAAGCTTAAACTGTGTTTTGTCATTTAAACAGATATCCACTGAAAAGTTCTTAGAAATACTTAACACCAGTTGGAGGATTTGAGAGGGTTTTTTTCTTTGTTTGTTATATTTTAATTTTTAAGTGAAAAAAATCTAATTAGTATTCCCCCATCCAAATTAGAAAAGCTTCCTGTCAAGGAAGTTAACCACTGAAATTACCTAGGGAGGCTGTAGAATTTCCATCTCTAGAGATTTTCAAGTGCAGGTTAAACAAAACCCGTCAGGGATGATCTAAAGCTTTAGAGGGGTAGCCGAGTTAGTCTGTAACTTGAAAAACTTTAAAAAACCAAGGAATAGTCTAGTAGCACTTTAAAGACTAACAAAACATGTAGATGGTATTGTGAGCTTTCGTGGGTAAAACCTACTTCTTCAGATGAATGGAGTAGTAAATACTCCATCCATGTGAAGAAGTGGGTTGTACCCACAAGAGCTCATGATACCATCTACATGTTTTGTTAGCCTTTAAGACTATTCATGGTTTTTTAGGGATTATGTAGATCAGCAACAGGCAAATACTGGCCCATGGGCCAGATCAGGTTCACCAGGGTAAGGCCGTGGCAGGCCGCCACTGCTGTATTTACCTGCACCTTCGCAGGTACAAGCAATTGCAGCGCCAATTGGCTGCGGATTGCTGTACCTGATTAATGGGAGCTGCACGAAGCAGGGCAGACTGGGACACTGCTTTCCACTGCAGCTCCCATTGGCCAATGTGGATTGCAAAGGCATGGGTAAATATAGTGACGGCAGCCCACTAGGGGCTAACCCTCGTAAACCGCCACTGTCTTACTGACTGCTCCTGATATGGATGGTGCTTAGTCCTGCCACGAATGCAGGAGACTGGACTTGACTCGAGGTCCCTTCCAGTCCCATGATTCTATTATCCTGTTTTGGTCATTTATCATTCTGTACTATTTGTGTAAACACATTTTAAAGTCTGTTTCAATACTAAAATCTATAGGGTCTAATTTAAATTCTTGAACGTCTACTTTACACTAGTAGGTAAAAGGAGTATTTCAAACATAAGAAGATTCTGTTAGCCCTACCAGGAAACAATAAGATTTCTAGAAGTGTTTAGAAGTTCAGTACAGATGAGGAATGGATAGAATCGTTGGTGAATGGAAATCATTACCAGATGAAATTAGCTCTCTGGATGGCAAGAGAGAGGAGTGGATTGAACTGCTAGCAGTTTGGATTGCTAGAATCTAGAACATGAGAGGGGTATCTTTAACTATACGGTACATTTTATTCTTTACTGTTTACGGTGCTAAATTAAGAAGGTAATTGTTACTGTAAACATGAAAGCTTCTGATCAATTCTGAAGATGACTAACTGGTGTTAAGCAATTAAATACGTAGAAATTATAAGTCAACATTCCAAAAGTGCAATGAAATATGTAGGAAACAACTGAACCAAAGTGAAGGTTACTCACTCAGTGCAGTAATTGGAGTTTTTTGAAATGGTTGTCCCTATGGGTGCTCCACCATATGTGTCTGAGCACCACTGTGCTTCTAATCAGAGGGTTTAGGTAGCAATGCACAGTCGGCTGCACATACGGGGCACCCCGCGTGCACTGCTTCAAATGGTTACTCCACATGCACAGCCAACTGTCCCTTCAGTTCTTTCTCTGTGCCAGACATGGAATATTCTGAAGCAGAGGGGAGGAAGGATGGCTGTGGACAGGGATGTTAGCAAGTAGTTGACTGGAGTATCGACTACTCCCTTGCTGCCTCTATGACCACTGTTCCTAGAAGACATGGTGGTCTAAATGAGCTCCACACTATCAGGGAGCTATCCATGGTGATCATTACAGACAGCTGTGGTTGTAGGAAGGGTACCCCCTTGCATGCATTGTTGTGGATGGTCCATCAGGACAGCAAGTTCTTTATTTTGCAGGGCATGGTGAGTTGCTTGTTTGTGTGATGGACATGTGGCCAGTATACTGTGCCAGGCCTGCTGTGGTCACATGCAAAGGCATGTGGCCCAGGAGCTGAAGGCAGCGTTTTTCTGTGATACATAAACTGGCTTGTGCTAATGTTATGAGATCCACAATCACTGAGAATCCGTGTTCTGGTAGTGATGCTGTTGCTGTTAGACAGTTTAGGTCTGCCCCTATGAATTTCAGATGTTGAGAGGGAATGAGCATGCATTTCTGGAAGTTTATCTGTAGCCCCAGTGTGTCGTAGAAGACTCTGGTAGTAAGGACTGCCTGTTCAAGCTGTTAGCAGGCAGTTATCTAGGTATGGGAAAATGGTGATTCCTATTTTCCACAAGTGTGCCGCCACCACCACTGCTAGAACTTTGGAAAAAAGACCTGTGGGGCTGTTGAGAGTCTGAATGGCAGCACTTTGTATTGGAAGTAGAGGTCTTGAATAGCAAATGGGATGAAGCATCTGTGTGGTCAATGTATGGCAATATGGAAATAAGTGTCCTGGAGGTTGAGGGTAGACAGACAGGCTCCCTTCTCTAAGGCAGGAATTATTCTGGCTAGGGTTTTGGAAGAGTTGAATGCGAATGAACCGATTGAGGTTGCGAAGGTCTCGGATAGGTCTCCACTAGAGATGTTAAATGTAGATAACGAGCTCTTGCTACAGTTCAAAAACGGAAGCCTGGCATGGAGCGTGGGGTTTCCTTTTGAAATGTACAAGAGCCCCAGTGTGGATCCTGTACATTTCAAAAGGACTCCCCCGCTGTCCCCGCACTCTCTTCAGTGTCTGATCCTTTTAAATGTACATTTCAAAAGCAGAAAAGCGGCGCTAGCAAAGACTGCTTCAGTTCCCACTCACGCCATTTCCTGCTGTACCTCTGCCCCCTCACAGAGATGGTGCTGGAGGAACCGGCTTTTAAGCTAGCTCCCCAGGGGGAAGCAACTAGACACATCACTAGTCGACTATCCAATAGGCTACTGCTTATCGGATAGTCAACTAGTTGACTAGTCTCTTATATTCGAAGTACCCACCCACTTGCTATCTTTGTTGTAAGAAAATAGCAAGAGTACAACCCCTCGCCCCCTATACTCTGGGGTACATGCTCTATAGCCCCTCGCAGCATGAGGTGGTCCAGTTCCTGCATGAGCACAACTTCATGAGAAAGGTCCTTGAAGAGGGCTGGGGAAGGGGGTTGGGAGATAATTGAAAAGTGAATACAAAAACCAGTTTGGACAATTTCTAGCACCCATCTGTCCATGGTGATGCTGTGCCATGCTTGACAGAATGAGGCTAGTCTGCTTCCAAATGGAGTGGATGAGATGGATTGCTACCCTGGAGACATCGGGACTGTCAATCCTTCGACCAACTGTTCAAAAAGCCTGGCAGAAGGTGGATGGTTGTGGGGCCAAAGTTTGGTCAGATAACTGTCTGCACCTCCTATGGCATTGCCAGTGCTTACTGTCATGGTGTCTATGCTGCTGGCTAAACAGTGTTGGTCTGTATCTCTGCATATCTCTGCTTTCTCTTCGTGACAGTGATACATATGCAGAGGGTTTTTGGTGTGGATCGTGAGTCTTTACCATGTGCAGAGAGGTGTCAGTGGACTTGGTGAAAAGCTTGGACCACTCGAAGGGCAGATCTTCCCCAGTAAACTAAACCCTCTGGGGAATCCAGAGAGTTGCAGTTATAAGACCCATCTCATGACCACTGCTGCAGAGATGGATCTGGTCATTGTGTCGGCTGAGTCCAATGAGGCCTACAATGCTGTGAGAAAAATTAGGGCATCCTCATTGATACTTCCTGAATTATTCTCTTTTAGTGTCTGGTAGGGATTCAATAAAAGTTGTCCACTGTTTGAAAATATTGTACATATATTTCACCAGAAATGCCATTTAATTCACAATGCTTATTTGTAATGTGGCTAAGGAGTAGGAATACCTCGTAAACAGGTCCAACCTTCTCCATTCCTTATTGTAAGGTCTTTTACAGGCTGTTTATTGCCTGCCCCTCTGGTTGACTGCCTCCACAAGTGAATTAGGTGTGGGATGGGAGAACAGAAAGTCTCCCCCTTGGGGGAGAGGAGCATGGGGGGGGGGGGGGGGGGGACAGC